TTGACAGAGTGAGCACAAGCAGGAGAGGGAGAAGCAGGCCCCTCGATGAACAGGGAGCCTGATATGGGGCTCAATCCCAGGAAGCCAAACGCAGACGCTCAACCAACTGAGCCACCCAGGCACCCCTGTCAACACTTCTTTACTGCTGAATTTTAACCTTTTAAAAATGCCCAAGTATAAGAAAGCAGGTGTTGACCACGAAACACTTATAAAGTCAGAAAATAAATGTTCCAAAGAATGGACTGAATTGTGCGATGTAGTTTACATGCCTAGTAATTATGAGGTAACAGTTTTACTTCAGGACTAATTATTTTTTTTAGCAACTCTGCTAGGGATGATAAGCAGGTTTCTTGGTATCTTGGAGCTTGTAATCCAGTGGGGAAACAGACTGAACAACCATTATAAACTGTGGTAAGTCATGAAGTATAGGTTACCAAGATTGTCAAATCAAGAACTGATCTAGTAGAGTCAAAGTTTTCCCCACATACTGTATTTTTTTTTAATATTTTAAGTAATCTCTACTGCAACATGGGGGCTTGAACTCATAACCCTGAGATCAAGAGTCATGCTCTGCCGACTGAGCCAGCCAAGTGCCTCCAGACTGTTTTTTCTTTTCTTTTTTTAAGATAGTCTCCACACCCAGCACAGGGCTTGGGGGGTAAGGGGGTGTGGCACAAGGTGGGGCTCAAACTCACAGACTGTGAGATCAAGACCTGAGCGGAGATCAAGAGTCTGAGGCTCAACCGTCTGAGCTACCCAGGTACACCCCTAGATGGTATTTTTTTGAGCTAGAGCTGATCGATAGGATGAGGAATTAAAATGTGGTAAGAGAAGGAGTAAACAGCATTCTAGGTAGAATGAATCCTTCAGCAAAGGTCCTGAGTGGGGAGGGAAAATTGCACGTCTTGGAACTCAAGGCTGGAGCTCAGAAAAAGGGAGAGGGTGGGTAATAAGCTAGAGAGGCAGGCAGGGACCGTATCAGGCATACCTCACTTAATTTACCATGTTAAGGGGAAAGAACCAGTGAGAAAGTCAAGCACTAGGCTGATTTAATACAATGATGGCTATATAAACGTTTAATATCCTACTAGGAATTTGAGTCATTTAAAAGTTCTAAGCAGACCTTTGAACCAGCTGTTTAAAATCTAAGATTTAAAAAAAAAAACGAGATCCTGGGGCGCCTGGGTGGCTCAGTTGGTTAAGCGACTGCCTTCGGCTCAGGTCATGATCCTGGAGTCCCGGGATGGAGTCCCGGGATCAAGTCCCACGTCGGACTCCCTGCTCAGCGGGGGGTCTGCTTCTCCCTCTGACCACCTTCCCTCTTGTGCTCTCTCTCTCTCATTCTCTCTCTCTCAAATAAATAAAATCTTTAAAATAAAAAAAATAAAAAAACGAAATCCTCAGTTTCCAATTATAATGTTTCCTGTATATTGTTTAAAGTGGGCAAAAAAAGGGGTGCCTGGGTGGCTCAGTTGGTTAAGGGTCCAACTCTTGATTTTGGCTCAGATCTTGATATCAGGGTTGTGAGTTTGGGCTGGCGTTGGGCTCCATGCTGGGCATTGTGCCTACTTAAAAAATAAAAAGTGGGCAAAAAAATCAACTAAAATCTGCCTTTCTGTTGTGTTCTATTTTCAAGGAAAAATCTCATTCTGCAGAAATAGTCAAAGGTCAGAATGCTCAAGTTAATTTTATATTTGGTTTTATTTGTGGAGTGTAGGTAGAGCCTCCTCTAAAATTAAATTTTGGATTTGCTGTTTTAATCAGTTGCCTCTAAATTAAAAATTTATTTTATACCTGGATTTGTTAAATACAGTCATGTTATTACACTAATTAGTTTACTTCAATTTGTTACATTATGATGGCTAATTTAGTATTTATGTGGCATTTTTGCCAACTATAATCAATATTTGGAGTTAATCTATTATTGAAAGGAATTTTCTCCCTAATCAGTATGTTGAGCAGCTATAAAAACAAAAATCAGATTCTATTTTCAATTAAAAAGATTTTTGAAATTTAACCAGTAAGATTATAGCATATCAATTAAGCATGACTAGGAAAGGTGACTGGTTCTCTTGCTATGTCACAGTGCTAATACCCCATGACTTATCTGTTCAAAGCGTTCAGAGCAGGGCCGAGAGACTAAACATACTGTTCTCTCATTTAAAAAAATGTAATTTAAATTATCTGATGACAATGAATATGTTGTCTAACTGGTCTGTTGCTTGTGGGTAACTGCTCCTTCATCTTTTCTAGATCTTAAATATCTCTCAACAAGTCTGTCTCACAATTACAGATACTGAATCATAACTTAAAAGAACAAAGTGTACTCTGTTTTTTCTACCTCCAATTATGAAAGTCATGTAAGAGAAAGCAAATCAAATAGCATTCATAAAATAGAAGAATTAGTTAAAAAAAATTCTGACTTGGCTCTAGTTTACAGAAAAGATCACTCAACACAGATTTATTGAGCTCCAATGTACCAGGTATAGGTGCTGGGAAACAGAAAAGACAAAGTCCCTGCCTTACATTTTAACTTGCAGACATTATTTTCCCTTAAAAGAATTTTTCCCCTCTGAAAAATTTTAAGTGGGGAAAGTATGTCTCTATTGTTTTTTTTTATTGTTAACAGACACAACAAAACTTCCCACTGTCAGCTTATAAAACAGAAAACCAAATTCACAGATTCTCAGATTTGGGCAACAATGGTAATTTAAGTAACATTCTGCTACTGATTTTATTACCACATAAAACAACGTGGTTATTATAGTGAAAACAACAAAAGGTACTCTAATTGGCTAATTTCCTTTTCAACTATCAATTTAAAAAAAAATATTTGACAGAGAGACAGCAAGAGAGGGAACACAAACAGGGGGAGTGGGAGAGGGAGAAGCAGGCTTCCCATGGAGCAGGGAGCCCGATGCGGGGCTCAATCCCAGGACCTTGACCTGAGCTGAAGGCAGACGCTTAACTACTCAGCCACCCAGGCGCCCCTCAACTATCAATTTTTTAAAGATTTTAAGCAATTTCTACACCCAAAGTGGGGCTCGAACTCACAATCCTGAGATCAAGAGTCATATGCTTCACTGAGCCAGCCAGCCTACCCCTCAACTATCAATTTTTGAGGACAGAAGGGGGGGGGATAGAGAAGGGAAAAATATAATATGGTCTACGACTTTATCCTATCAATAACCTCCAGGAAGTGACTCATTCCCATGACTTTTTTTGTTTTTTTTTAAGATTTTATTTATTTACTTGACAGAGAGAAACAGTGAGAGAGGGAACACAAGCAGGGGGAGTGGGAGAGGGAGAAGCAGGCTCTCAGCTGAGCAGGGAGCCCCACACGGGTCTCGATCCCAGGACCCTGGGATCATGTCCTGAGCCAAAGGCAGACGCTTAACAACTGAGCCACCCAGATGCCCCAATTGTTTATTTTTTTAAAGATTTTATTTATTTGACAGAGAGAGACACAGTGAGAGAGGGAACACAAGCAGGGGAAGTGGGAGAGGGAGAAGCAGGCTCCCCACTGAGCAGGGAGCCCATTGTGGCGCTCAATCCCAGGACCATGACCTGAGCCGAAGGCAGACGCTTAATGACTGAGCCACTCAGCGCCCCTTTCATGGCTTTAATTTTACACAATTTAAACTGGAGGTATCTACCAACATGTATCAATAGCTTGTGTTTAGAAGATGACGTTTTATTGTTATTGAGCATTGACGTCCAATATGATGTATAAATCACACAAAATCTTATTTTGCTCCCTAGGAGTTTATGTACAGTCTATGAATATAGGCAATAACATAAGGAATAAATCGTTTCTCTTCATTTCTTTTAAACCTAAGTTGCTTGGAAAATACCTATCTCATATATGCTTGAGTTTTGTGGCTGGCTTTTGCACACTGGGAATCTAATAAGAAAAAGAAAGGTATTTTGTTGATAATCTTATTTTAAAGATTTTATTTGAGAGAGAGAGAATGAGAGACAGAGAGCACGAGAGGGAAGAGGGCCAGAGGGAGAAGCAGACTCCCCGCTGAGCGGGGAGCCCGATGCGGGACTCGATCCCAGGACTCCAGGATCATGACCTGAGCCGAAGGCAGTCGCCCAACCAACTGAGCCACCCAGGCGCCCAGTATTTTGTTGATAATTTATTACCTCTCCATCACTCCAACTGTTACTAGGTACCAGCAAAATGTCCTCTGCTGTTGACTGCATTCTCCTGGCCTTTCAAATCCTTCAACCTTGCCTTTCACAAGGCCTACATCGAAATTTAAAAATAGGCAACAGCTGGCTTTTTTATGTAGTAATAACTTATTTTGTCAGAGTTAAGCTCTCTAAAGGCAGATACTTAGTCATGAAATATTTGCTGCAGTACTGGTTTTAGCAGAAACTAGACCAATAGTGAAAATGAGTGCCTGCTCTAAAACTAAAAAGATATGTAGCTAAAACTTCTAAAAGTTGTTTTCCAGTGAAATAATTTTCTAAGCATTTCTCCTCGAATATTTATCATATTTGGAGCACCCAGGCTATCGCCTTACCTCCTTAAGAACCTACCTAGCAAATTATCCATCTTTTTAACTTTACAGTTTTCACTGAATACCTATGGTACTGTCCAAAGATACTAAGCAGCATGGTCAGTGGATTAAAAGACAATTCCAGGGGTGCCTGGTTGGCTCAGTTGGTAGAACATACAACTCTTGATCCCAGGGTTGTGAATTTGAACCCCACATAGGGTGTAGCGATTACTTAATAAAAGACAAATCCAAGTCGGGGAAAGTAACCTCAGATGGAGACTGTTGTGGTACCATTATGTTTTATATCTGGGTTTTAATGCTTTTTCTAACTTAAGATTTAAATCCCCCTGGGTGAAAACTCTGTTCTTTGCTAGTACCCAGTGCGTACTCAATAATCAAAGTATTTAAATTAGCACCTATATATTGAGCTTGTCATTTTCAATGCCCTTTACCAACCACAACCCAAAAGAAGTTTAAAAGGTATAAAGTAGGTACGTTAATACAGTCTTTATAAGAGCACCTTTAGGTCTTAAAAGCCACAGTACTCTTTTTTCCTTAGAGCAGTATTTTTACATAAAACACAAGATTCTCTCAAAAGTCCAAAGTTTGGCTATGTAGTCTAACCTATCAGAAGCTGCATGCTCGTCCTATATGCCTACTGGATCTAAGCTAACGATCACGTTGTTCTGCTCGCCAAACATGGCCAAAAGACACAAATAATAAATACTGGATAATCACACCTTTGGGACTGAACAATGGTTCTACCAGTTTATTATGTCACCTAACCTAACAGTGACAACACAATGTCGTAAGTCAACATGGCTAAAGATGTACTGCGGGGTTTTTTGTTGTTGCGAGTCTCTAAGATTTCAGGTGATGACGAAAATACTTTTTACAGATCAGTATCACTGCTCTAGCCTAGTCTACCAGGAAACACAGATGTCATCAGGATTAGTTAGTTGTAAGAGGAGCAAATGGACTTATCATTAAAATCATCAAGACTTTCATAGGCAAAGCACTTCCCAACAGCTATTTTGGCTTTACAACAGGCCTCCAAAGCCTTCAAGGTAGGAAATGAGTACATGGTGGCACGCAGAGTGTAGATGAATTGCCTTTACAGCGGCTCTGCTTCTAAGGAGAGGGTCAGAGGGAAGGGCCTTTACCCGTCCCAGTACTTTGCCCGGGGGAATCCGTGTCCCGAGTCCTTAAGTTAATATTAACCCGGCCCAAGGAGTTTCTCTGGCGAGTGCGTTTACGAGCCTCTCCTCACACAGTCTTCCATCTGCCTCTAGTGTAGCAACTACAACGCAAAACCGTCACCACTAAGTTTCCCTCGGCGGGATCTTGACGCAATCGCAGTCAAGGAAGCAGTGATGCGGCTGGCTCCCGGTGAATCAGGGCATTCAGGGAAAGCGGCGTCAACTACCTGGAAACCAAGCCCGGAGTTTCTCGCTCACCCTCCAGACGCTCGTCGCCCCTTCCCGCACTCCCGCTTTCCGCTCCCACTGACTTGGAAAGCCTCAGCTCCTTCCCACTTACCGAAGTCCTCCCAGGGCCTCGACCCTCGGGTGGGCACTGAGTCAGCTCGGCTCGGCACCCTTCGGCCCTCGGGAGAGCGGTTCTCAGGCCCGAGCGGCAGGGGAACAGAGGTTCGGGCCTATTCACTCCTCCTGGCGGCCCTATTTCGGATTTATTTGGGTAGCTAGACTCGGGGGAGGAGGTCGGTCACGCGTTCGAGAAACCCGAGGGAGAACCCCCCCCACCACCGCCTCCACCACGGTTTCGAAAGAGGCGACCCGGGAGTGGCGGTCTACAGTCTCGCGAGAGGAGGCGGGGCCCCGCCCGGAGTTCTCGGCCCCTCCCTGCCCCACCCTCCCCACGTCCCCCGCCCTCCCTCCCCCACTGCCCGTGGCGCGAGCGGCTGACTGAGCCTGGAGAGGAAACGGCGTTCGGAGCAGCGCTCCCGCCCAGGCCGGCCCTGACGCGGGCCTCGTCAGCCGGTAACGGGGAGCAGAGGTGGGGGTCAGGGAGGCGACCACGAAAACGGTGAAGGTCAGAACCCAGAGGCCTCCTCCGAGAAGGGTGAGGAAAGGGTCTGAGCCTCCCTCTACAGACTCCGCAGAGCTGAGGCGGGGTCGACCCCTCCCAGGGGCGGGGTCGCGCTGGGCAACTGCAGCCCTGGGGACTGACTGGGCGGGGCGCGCCAAGTAAGGGGAGGAAGGGGTCAGCTGGGGGTTGAGGGCTCCCTGGCAGCGGGAAGCAGGAGGTGGCCTGTGGGGCTGAGGCCGTGGGTGGGGTCCTGGAGCTGGGACTCCGGTGACGGGCTGGGGAAGCCCCGGGGCCAGCGGGTCCCTTCCGCCTCTCCTTTGGACCCTGACTGGAGGCCGGCGGGGGTGGGGGCAGGGGAAGGCGAGCGGCGCGAGGGGGCGGGTCCCGGAGCTGCTCGGCGCTGATTGGCTGAGCGCGTGTGGAATCGGGTGATGGGAAACGCAGCCCGGCTCTCCCGTGCCCTACTGCTCCTCTCCCTCCCCCCCGTGGCGAATGTGCTGCGCGGCGGCGGGTGCTTACGCTCGCGGGGTTTGGCTGTTGCAGGCAGGAGCTGGGAGGAGGCGGCAGCGGCAGCGGCAGGAGCAGCAGCGGCGGCGGCGGCGGCAGCTGGGAGGAGGTGGTGACGGTGGCAACGGCAGCGTCGGGGACGATGGCGCGACTGGTGGCAGTGTGCAGGGACGGGGAGGAGGAGTTCCCCTTCGAGAGGAGGCAGATTCCCCTCTACATAGACGACACCCTCACGGTGAGCGGGCCGGGCCGGGCCGGGCTCGCCGCTCCCCTGGCAGCTGTTTCCCCTCCTCCCCCTCCCCCAGGCTGAGCGCTGCGCACTGGAGAAAGAGTGTGTTGCAACTCCTAGGCGAGGCCTCCTCTCCGGCAGGCCCCACAAACTCGCCTTTGCAGTGTGTCGCACGGTAACCCCTGCGGGCCCCTAGCCCAGCGCTCCGTGAGCATTTCGAGCCCCTCTCGCCAGATTTTCCTTCCTTTTTGAACCTCTTCCTTTCCCCTGCCTCTTAGCGAGACGCTGCTTTGCCAAAGCACGCGCCTCGGAGAGGAGTTGAAGGATCTTGGGCGTTTAGGGCCTATCCTTTACAGAATCCACCTACCCTCGGGGAAGCTTAATTATCTGGAAATGTCGCAGCTGCACTGCTACCTGTGTATTTTCTCTCTCAATACTGTAGCTCACTACGGAAGCTTAATTACTTAAGGCAGAGTGGCATGCTCTCGCACAGTAAAGATTCCACTAAAATGATTTGGTTTCATTGCAAATAGTGTCATATTGCCTCGTACGTTAAAACTCTGAAATGATTGTAGTGCTAGGCCATGACTCCTCAAAATGGATTTTCTTGGCAATAATTATTTTTTAGTGTACAGGTAACCTTTTTTTTTCTTTTTTTTAATAAAGCAAAATTATTGAATGTGTAAGGGCATTATAAAAAGCTGATTGCTTGTCTGGAGTGTCAAAACCCACTTCTGGGTAGTTTTCTTAGAGTTGATGGTAGTACAGCATTACTGACCCTCTGCCCTGTGTTGCTGTACTATTTCCTTTGAAAGGAAATGGCAGAAATTTGAATTGAATCTGAACAGGAAATGAGTGCAGTTGCTTGCCACTATTTCGTAAAAAATGAAATGAACCTTTTCTGAATATCTTTTGAAATCTGCATTTTGATGATGCTGAAGCTTTGGATTATGCATTTGCCTCTTTTGATAGGTGTAACTCAGTCTTTTTATCGTATTACCTTTGCCTTTTTGCTTTTCAGAGGCAGTTCTGTTTTGTTCTTGAATTTTTTTTGGCAAATATCTATTGAAGTTTTTTCAAATTTTATATAAAATGCAAGTCATTGTGGAGCTGCCACTCTGTGCCTTTCTGTTTGCCAGTCTCAATTAAGATTTGATTGAGCTGCAGTACTTTTAGATTAGAAGAGCTATTTGGTGACAATTTGTTAGAACTTTTTATGTGAAAGCGTCTTTTTTTTTTTCATGGAAAGAAAGTGCATTTTTTTTTTCATGGAAAAAGAATGATTTGGCCTGACATAAGGTAAATAGAGTTTGTGTTGATGCATTAGAAAGTGCCTGTATGCCTTGGTTATGATTTCTGTATTTTTTACATTAAAAGTATAATGGAATTGTATTTTAAGTTAAAAAACTAGCACTCTGATCAAATTAAATGATGCATTTCTCCATTTTAAAACTCCTAATATGAGTTCATTTGTTACTTTCTTCTCTTCCTCTTCTTACACACTTTTCTAGAGCACGTAATTTGGTATCAACTTTCTGTGATTATTGTCCCACAATGTCTTTGAAGTTTAAAAAAATCCAATGGGTTTAGACATAAGATTACTTTTGAGTGTATAATATCAAAACATAGGGGAAATCAACATAAATTTGAATATTTACAGCATTTTAAAAGACACTTATTGACACTTCCTGACACTTATGGTCACATAACCACCTTTCGTTTGAGTGGAGCTTTGATACATCTGTCATATAGCACTTTAAAATAGTGGGTGTTTTTATACTCTGTTCTCTGTACAGTGATACTAGTTTCTAAAATTTTCCATAGAAAAAGATGTAACCTTGCACTGTGATACATAATTGTACTTATTTCTCCAGAGAAGTTGGGATTGGACTGAACCTGGTGATTTGAGTTTTGCTTTTATTGTATTGTGGACTTGTGACCAAGGCAAATAAAATTTAGGGTCATTTAATTTAAATATCCCAAAATAGTATTTTATTTAGGAAAAGGTGCAGTTTTTCTTGTCTTTAGAAGGGTTTTTATCACTAGGAATGAGTGGGACTATTTATTGCTTTGTCTTGGAACTTGTGCATAGTCATTGAATGCTGGTTAGTGAAAATTCTTGTCAAGAATGCATTATATTTAGGGAAACAACTTTCAGAACTTCCTATCAAATACTACTCAAAAGAAGACAGAGCAAACACCTGTTGGGGAAAAGGGAGGGAAGATGCTTGTAGCCTAAGTTTATGCTCTGCACTGGTCCACTGATAGTTTGATGGCAGTGTATCCCTGAAGTTAACATTTGGTCTGGTCTTTGTTCTTAGGGTCCATAGGTAATGCATTGAAAAAAGGCTGTGTGATCTTTATTTCAAGTAGTCTTAGAATCTTGTTAGCGCCTACATGTTAAGTCTGGTTACAGCTTTCACAGTTCAGTTACAAATGTTGTATCATTTTAGTAACAGAAGTTGAAACCTCTATCCTTAATTCTACTGGTGATTTTAGGTTGGATTTTATAAAATGAAATTGAGAAGCTTGTTTTTGTGAGGAAGTAGTCTCCTCCTTCATGTGGTATGTTAAATCCACGTTTAAGACTCATTTGGTAATTCTTAGTGGGTTTGAATAGTTGAGTACAGGTGATATAGGTGTATTTGAGAAAATCCCAAAGAAGTAAGTCGGTGGAAAATTAAGAAAGTGGTACGCTGTGTGGCCAAAATGCTTTTTGGTGTTACTAGAATTGTAAAATAACAAATGGGCAGAATACGGATTTTATTTTAGAGATATTTTTGGAGAATTACAATTTTAAGTGAGTAGTTTTAAAAAAAATTAAGAGTCAAAATTTACACCCTTTATAAAATAATCTTGAAAAATAGCGGTATAACAAAGAAAAAAAATTATCCTTAATCCTACTTCCCAGAGATAACTAAGGAGATAGCAGCATTTGCTATAATTCTAGTCATAGACACATACTTAGATGCAGAGTTGAGATGTATTGTTTACTGTAACATTTTACATCTGGCTTTTTTTTCCCCACTAAATGTAATACTGAGAACATTTGTTCTTGTCACTCTTAAGCAGCTTTATTAGCCATGTAATTTGTTGTGTGACATTCCATAATTTAATCATTCTTCCTTTGTGGATGTGTAGGGGTGATTCTTCCTTGACTATGAATAATATAAAAATATAAATAATGCATTAATCTAGGCATTAATTTTTTTTTCTCAGGCTTTGAAGTACAGTTCTGGATCACAGGAGAAGAGCGTTTTGTAAAGTTCTTGATACATAGTGTCTACATTGCTGTAATATTACTGGGAAGCAGTTTACCCTCCTAATAATTCAAATAATCTAAATGGACTAGAGACTCTGATAATGGATTTTAATGGAGACATTAAAAGATAGTAAATGTAACATATCCACTTGGGGATTAGGTATTTAGCATTTTTAAATTTAGTATTTAATGTTTTCTTTTAACTCTTAAGTATTTAATTGATTTTACCAAAGATGATAGATGTTAGAAATAGCTGTGAGGATGAAGTAAAAAAGTAAAGCTAAAGTGACAGTGACTTTTAATAAATACAAATTTAATATTGTTGGTTAGAGCTTGTGAGAATGTGCTAAAAACAGATTATTTGTGGTCAGGAGAAACCAGGACAGATATTTAAGAGTGAAAGTGGGTAATGGATTCAATAAACTTTATAAAGCAGTAATTGCAGGACAATGACTGGTTCTGTTTTAGGCCAGCGAGGGAAAGGCAACCTCATCATGAAACAGAACACTAATGATTCCTCTGTGAAACCACACCTGAAATACTTTACGTGACTGTCTTCTTTTAGGTAACCTAGAATCTGAAGATTAAGTCAAGGAAGTGGTTTTAAAGAATGGCAAAAAATAGTGCTACTCTCCTCTTTGCCTTCTCTTTTTCCTTTTTTCTTATTGTCCTCTCTGAACATAAGAGCATACAGTGATTTACCAGAAAACAGCAAGGTAAAAAGCCATTGTCCTAGGTGTTTGAAAGGCAAGGACAGAATAATTTAGTGTGAG